GTTCGATACTTTTTCGATACAAAAAAAGAGAAATTTCCATGCCCCTTTAAACAATTTATTTATATTAATTATGAACATTTGTTTAACCTCAAAAGTACAGTTTTTAAATTAAATGTTGCTGAAACAGCAAGTTTCTCAGTGGATCTCAGCGCTCAAAAATGCAGCCTAGGTGGAGTAGTCGAACGCAGATCCACTGATCCTTCAACACAGAGCATCTTCAGAAGACAAGTTGATAAAGTAAATTTTAAAAATCGATATTGTTCGATACAAGTGTGTATTGAACCAAAAGCACTGTTCGATACGGTTTGGTACGGTTCGATACGGGTACATGTATTGTTGCACCCCTAATATGTACAGTATGTATGTATGTATGTATGTATGTATGTATGTATGTATGTATGTATGTACGTATGTATGTACATACAGTATGTATGGATCACAAATTTTTCCCATGTACCTGTACATATCAGTCCTAGCACTTAACATGATCCATGTGAACAATCCTGTCTTAAAGTGACTTTCTGTKTGATAAAATACAGTGAAATCCTAACATACTGTAGCTTTATTGTGTATTACTTTTACAAAAGTCAGAACTCTGAGTTTAGAGGCTCACCTTGACACTCCATAGCTGCAGTCTCATAGTAAGTACCAGTAGGACAATCCTTAAGGCATGAACCTTTAAAAAGCTTGGGACTGGTGGTCGAGCAGGTCTCACAGTCATCTGCCAGAGGCCCCAAACAGTTGGCACAGGTGGGGTGACACTGGCCGCAGCAACCCTCCTCCATGTCCTCATAGTAGCCCATGGGACAACTTGCTATACAAGCACCATTCAGCATCAGGTAGAGGAAGGTACATTCTGTAATGACACATAGAGGGAGTGGAAAGGCTAGGTGCTGTACAATAATATTTTTTAACATSTATTTGGACCATTTTATCTAAAATYATAATTGATGACTCACTGAAACAGGTCCTGCCGTCAGAGCAGACGTCACAATGAGGAGGACAGTGTCTGCAGGTACCGTCATTCGCTGGGTACGTCCTCAGAGAACAGTTCAGTCTACACACACTGCTCTCTAAATAGAAGCCGTCAGCACAGGACAGACACTGAGACCCRGTCTCATCACAAGTTTGACAGGAGCTATCGCAAGCTTCGCACGAGCCCTCCTGAGTCTCAAAGAAACCCCTGAAAGTATAAAACAGGAGACAAATGAAGGSTCRTGTCGAAGACAAACAGTAATTACAGCCGTGTTACTTTTTACAGAGTGTTTAATTTGTTTGAATTCTTACTCCGGACAGTTGGACCAACACCGGCCCTTATAGAGGAAAAGTTTATTGCTGCCTCTGGAGCAGCTGATGCAGTTATCGCTGGTGTCCACGCAGTCGTCACAGTTTGGCGAGCAGTCTTCACACAGCTGGGTGGCAGGGTTTGCATAAGAGCCGGAAGGACAACGGTCTACACAAGARCTCTCCTGATCCAGAAAATATCCTGGAATGAACAAACGCAATCAACCAACGTCCAGTGGAATCCTGTTTTCATTCACTGTAATGGGCGATCGGTTCCTCTACCTTGGAAACAAGATGAACAATCAAGTGTTTGAGGGCCAAAACAGGTCTTACAGGAAGAATCACATGGACGGCATTCACTGTATTTTCCTATCATTGGAAAAAAGGAAGAACAGTTTGTTGTACCTTTCTGCACCACTAGAGGACAGCATCATCATGTTTTTTTTTAATAGCACATTCAATTAGAAGCTGTTTACAATTTGGTGCTTGGTTCAAAAGATTTGGTTGAAATAAACAAGTTGCATCCATAAAAAATATTTGCTCTTGGTACATCCACTAAACTTTTCAAGATTTATATGCACTTGTCAAACTGAAAAAAAAAAACTTGCTTATTGGATTGGATGATTGAAGTCTGACCAAAATAAGACATGTTGGATTTTATTTATGTAGCAAACAGGACCCCAGCAGCATGAGGAAGAACCATACACAGCCACAACAGCTTGGACAATCCTCCTCATGATGCTGGTCACACACTGTTGTGGGGGAAAAACACTGCTACAAAGAAGTAATTAGCCAAAATGTTCTTTTCTCTCTCTCTCTCTCTCTCTCTCTCTCTCTCTCTCTCTCTCTCTCTCTCTCTCTCTCTGTGTGTGTGTGTGTGTGTGTGTGTGTGTGTGTGTGTGATGCTATATTTGGAATGGACTCCAGCTGTATCCAGTTGCTTTTAAATTACATAACTAAAATGACACTTTTATAATACCAAATTACTATTAAAAAATACATTTTTGTTGACACAAAGGTATGAAGAAGGGTTAGAATAGAACAAATAGTTTTTAGTGACTAATTAATTCTGTTGGGACAATTTTTTTGAGCAAGGAAATGAAGAAAAAATGTATATGGTCTGAAATCCTTCAGTTTGCTCTGTTTGAAAGGTTTCTGGTATAAAACGTATGGGTATAAATACTGAAAGAAGTGTGTTAAAATGAAATTGAACTTTTGCCAGTGTAAAAAACGTCTTTGCTACATACAGTAAGAACTCCTCATTAGGATTGTTAGCTCAAGGTTAAACTATTTCAAAAGAGATAAAGCCAGAACACAGCAGCTGAATAGGGTAAACATGGATAACAGTGGAGCTCTGTTTCCCAGTGTTGTTGACCCAGACTTCAAAAGAAAAGTACATAAAGAGCCAGAGACAGGCAGAGGTGGAGAAATGTCTGAGTGTCATTTCATCTACAGGAACCAGCCATCTCGAGACAATTAATCCCTCCAAACAGAAAAACTACTGTTCTTTAACACCACCCACAAAAATACAARCAAACATTTTAACCAAGCAATTAATCCTGCTATCCTTGTCAAACAGGTAAAGCATGACACCTTGCTGATACTGTTCCTCTTCCTTGTCATTTTATTACTGCGAATAACAAACAAGTCACCAACCTATAAAATGTACTTAACTCCAAAATGACAAATGTTTTATCAGTGGAAATGTTTATGGAAATAAAAACCGTAACAATCATTTTCAAAACAAGCTGAAACTTTACATCAGCGGGTCTGACGAGTGAAAAGAAAAATCTGTGCAGACATCTTAACATGCCACTTRTAGATTTTTGAAAGTTATTTCACCCTGGGTTCATAAAAAAAGACTGCTCTAAAACACCTCTAAGCAGTAATTTGCCACAGTGTGAATCTTATTATTGACCCAGATTGCATTTTAATGTTGGGCAAAACTCGCCTCCAATTAAGAGCGCAGCTCACTTTATAAC